GTATGCTGTACTTATTCCTGAGGCCGACTGTACCTTAATATACCTTAGATATTAGAAGTATAGCAGTCACAGGTAAGCGGAGGATGTCGGCACACTGTGAAGAATAGAGTGTTGTGTAGTTGATGTTGGGTGTTAGATCTGGGTACTGGTGTAGTGACTCTCTCTCTCTTATCATTTTTTGCTGTTTTGACTATAATAGCCCAGGAGAGGGTAAATTTGACACCTTATCCTCTGAGGGAGAAGTTTATTGATCCAGTTAACCCATATTGAAGCTCTTCTGCCCTTTACACCATAATGAGAGATGACTATGTATGTTGTATATCCTTCAGTATGTGTAATAACAGGTGGGTGTATGTCCTGTATAAAGGAGTATGTTGTATATTGACGAAGATGGAGAGAGGACATGAAACTCCTCCATGATCATGTAAGAAGAGGAATGAAGGAGGTGAATGGTAAGGAAGTCTAACTATAGGGATGTTGAGTTAAGAATAGCATGGCAGGGAGTGATATGTGTTACGTGTTAGACGGGAAGCAATGGATTGGTGGTTATTACCTCCACTGACTATGAAAACAGCTGTAAAAAATTTTCCAAATTAAAGAGATGTATAGTGTGATATGGAGAGCATGGTAATAATAATAATAATATTATTAATAATTAACGGTTTATTGAAAGAGCATGGCAGCCGGAAGGCTGAAAATATACAATTACAAAATTGGGGAATGGGTCTCTTGATTGACAAATAATATACAGGTAACATAAGTGATACAAATATGATATATAATAATTAGGTGTTGATAATTTTTACAAGGGCTGGATGCAGTTGGGCAGGTGTGTGTGGCCACGTGGCAGGACAGTAGCTTGGGGCAATGCAGGTGTGCTCCATCCTTCAGGTTAGGTCAGGTAGCCGTGAGTCAGGTCAGGTTAGGTCAGATCCAGCCACACTCAATATTGCTGTGTTTTTGTGTTTTTCCTTCAATTTAAAATTGCCATTTTTGTATATCACTTGTGGGTTGATCGTCAATCTTTGCACTGTACTGTTGGTGTGAGGATGTTGATAAATCCAGATGGGAAGGAGGAGATGGGGCAGGGAGGCCCGACAGACCGGGCTGGCAGCTGTCTCCATGGTCAAGAGACCACAGCCGCGTTAGCGGGCAGCGCCGACTACACACGTCCTTACCCTACGAAGGCTGATGGAAGGTGGAGGTGTGGGTGTCTTGTTGGTGGTGTGAATAAGGTTTAGATTGTCATTTGTTTGATAGTGATGAATAGATGTGTAGAACGCCAGCCTATAGGTAAGGGGACGATTATTGTTGTTATCTTAGAGTAAGTAAATCGTATGAAGACAAAATACTGACGAAACTATAAATGAAGACTTGTTTCTTGGGTTTTGTTAATGTTGAAAATGAAAGGTGATTCCAGGTGAGATAACTACATACTGATGATGATGATTGGTTCAGTCCCCTTCACTAGTGCATTTACAGGGGCACGTCAGGTTTTGTGCAGTGTGGCAGCCCTGTGTTTGTTTACATTCGACAGAAAGAAACTCGCAGTAGTAAACATACTATGGAATCAAATAAAAACAATATTTAAACAAATATCTCAAAATAATGATTTTTGGAATGTTTATATGACGAGCCCCTGTAAATGCACTAGTGAAGAGGACTGTACATTAGAGCGGTGTTGGTGATTACTTGGTGACACTGAATGTTACAAGATTATATGTTATCCTGTGTTAAGGAGTCATGATCTGTGGTCGAGAGAGTGTTAGGTCAATCTATAGAGAGACTTGTACTGCCATGTGTGTTATAAGTACAGGAATAGCTTTAGGTTAGGAGTAAGAAGTGAGCCTTGAGGTACTCCAGTCATGCTGTAGAAAATAGTTAAAATGTGAATTTTCCATCACTTTATAAATGTGGAAGTTGGAGAGACAGGAGGAAGTCAAGGAATCTAAAGAATAACTGACCACCACTAGAGTGAGAAAGTCAGTGAGAGTCAGCCCCCTAAGAGTGAGTCCCCTGCTACAGTGAGACGTCCCCTTGCTGGAGTGAGGCAGTGAGAGACAGTCCCACCAGCACTCTGACACGACTAATCTTCTTAATCAAGGCTCACGACGCCATCACAGGAGAAAGATTATTCGATCATCATGGTCAAGTAGGTCACTTCTCTTATACATAGAGCAGCTGGGAGATAACGAGTAGGGTGGCAGAGACAGTCCCCCTTCACTGGTGTGTGTATAGTGTGGATGATTAGTATTACCCAATAACAGTAAAGAAGTATACGCATTAGTGAGGACTGATGTGTTCCCTCACCAGTGGGGAAACACAACAGACCTAAGCTGCTTCATTCATACAATTAATGAATGTTAGCTGAAAATTACTGAAGAAATGCGAAGTATTCTGAAAGTCTATGCAATAATGTATACACAAACAACTCGCCTCTTGCTTGTTACTACTGTTTGTGTTTGTAAATAATTGTATCGTGTTTGCAGTTTGCTTACCCGGGTGAGAGAGATCTGTGAATGGTAGGATGAACTACCGGTGGTTAGCGGGGGTGGTGGTGTTGAGGCAGGCTGTATACACTGTTAGTATTATGTACAGCATATGAATAGGCGGTATATTGTTACGAGCAGTTGTGTAGTAATGTGTGTGGGTGTGCTATTGGTTGGGTTTATTTAATGTTAGCGTTTCTGAATGTTTTTGAATGTTGTGTTGATAATTATGTTGTTAGTGTATCAGATGTTGATGTATAATGTTGGTATTGTATCTCATATTGTTGATATAAGATGATCTATGTAATACAATGTTAATATAGAGGACTAGCCAGATTAAAGCCCACATTAAATACTGTAGTTGTAAGGTTGGGATCCCTCGGTCGGGCACAAAGGCAGACACGGCCGGGGTTTCAGGTAAGGTACAGTAGACAGATCCTCGTTGATTGGGGTTTTTGTATACTATCAGTACTGCTCTAGTTATTATATTAAGTACAGCCATTATAGTTTATGTTATATTTGTGTTGATTGGTTAGGAATTGTATTACTGTGACTGTAGCTTTGTTTTGAGGAGTTGAAGTGATCAGACGTCCAGCTTATGCTCTACTTATATTTAGCTGATCACTGTGTGTGTGTATTAACCATCCTCTCTACCACCCTCCAGACCTGTCGGTGGGCGTGGTGACGGCGTGGGACGCAGACGACCAGCAGGAGGGCACCAACGCCCACCTCACATACTCCATCGAGAAGAATGTGATCGACGAGCGCTCCGGCCAGGCCATCTTTACTGTCAACCCCGAGACCGGCCTCGTCCGTGCATCTGCTGCCTCGACCGCGAGACCACGCCCGAGTACCACATCCAGGTGGTGGCGGTGGACGGAGGCGGCCTCAAAGGTAAGTGTATCAGTGGGTGTGTGTCAGTCAGTTGCCCACTAACTCACCACCACCACCTCCCTACCTGCTACCACCTACCACCCACCACCCACCTACCACCACCAAGCATATTGTGTGTGGAATGGCATAACACTATCTCTGATGGCAAGATAGCTGATATACTAAAGCTGAATCTACACTTCGCTTCTAGTAGCTAAATGAACTCCTGTGTACAGAACTAAACAAACAATGTACTGGGGGTTCCTTATTACTGCTGTTTGCTGCTAAATATTATTGTTTGCTGCTCAATACTGCTGTTTCCTGCTCAATATTGCTGTTTCTTCCTCAGTACTGCTGTCAAACTGCCCCAGGAAGTGTTATACCCTCTGTTGTGTTGTTATCAGGGAGTAGAAAATGGATATAATTTTCTTGGAACATTTTTCACGTGATAACATTCACCCTGGGAGGACATTTTACCTCTTTCATTTCTCTTATCGTTTACGGCCATCCCTTTTCATCTCTCTCATCATTTTTTATCTAATTTCTCTCCTCTTGTTCGCCTCTTCCTCCTTCTCCTTCATACCTCTCTTTATATTCCCTTTAACAATAGTGGTTTATGATAGTGTATGCTTGTAATGTTGACATCTCTCTCTCTCTCTCTCATATGGTTCCACACTATTATTATAGCGCCATAGTATTAACACAATACTACACTACTACTACCACAATACACTATCACCACAACACCACACTATCACCACAACACCACACACTACCATCACAATACATTACCACTACAACACCCTAACACCACACACTAAAACCACAACATTGCACTATACTACCACAACACCACACTACCACAACACCACACTACCACCACAACACCACACTACCACCACAACACCCTGCCGCCACAACACCCTGCCGCCACAACACCCTGCTGCCACACACTTCCACAACACAACACCACTAACACCATCATAACATACCTCTAACACCATCATAGCACACCACTAACACCATCATAGCACACCACTAACACCATCATAAAACTTTAAGCCTCACATTTGTTTTACAGTGACGACACGTGGAGCATGTTGAGTGTATTCCAAATAGTTTAGTTTACGTTGTGTTCCATTTTCTGTGGTTTTCCGTTTTTGGGGGTTACTGTTCGTTGACCTCTCATTGTCTGTTGTTAAGTCATCGTACTCAAGGGGTTAATTCATCGTATTCAAGGGGTTAAGTCATCGTACTCAAGGGGTTAAGTCATCGTACTCAAGGGGTTAAGTCATCGTACTCAAGGGGTTAAGTCATCGTATTCAAGGGGTTAAGTCATCGTATTCAAGGGGTTAAGTCATCGTACTCAAGGGTTAACTGATCGTATTCAAGGGTTAAGTCATCGTACTCAAGGGGTTAAGTGATCGTACTCAGGGTTAATTCATCGTATTCAAGGGTTAAGTCATTACTCAGGGTTAACTGATCGTATTCAAGGGTTAAGTCATCGTACTCAAGGGGTTAAGTCATCGTACTCAAGGGTTAAGTCACCGTACTCAAGGGTTAAGTCATCGTATTCAGGGTTAAGTCATCTCAAGGGGTTAGTCATCGTACTCAAGGGTTAAGTCATCGTACTCAAGGGGTTAAGTGATCGTATTCAAGGGGTTAAGTCATCGTACTCAGGGGTTAAGTAGGCGTACTCAAGGGGTTAAGTCATCGTACTCAAGGGGTTAAGTGATCGTATTCAGGGGTTAAGTCATCGTATTCAAGGGGTTAAGTGATCGTATTCAAGGGTTAAGTGATCGTATTCAAGGGGTTAAGTCATCGTACTCAAGGGGTTAAGTCATCGTACTCAAGGGGTTAGTCATCGTATTCAAAGGTTAAGTCATCGTACTCAAGGGTTAAGTCATCGTACTCAGGGTTAAGTCATCGTACTCAAGGGGTTAAGTGAGCGTACTCAAGGGTTAAGTCATCGTACTCAAGGGTTAAGTCATCGTACTCAAGGGGTTAAGTGATCGTATTCAAGGGGTTAAGTCATCGTACTCAAGGGTTTAAGTCATCGTACTCAAGGGTTAAGTCATCGTATTCAAGGGGTTAGTCATCGTATTCAGGGGTTAAGTCATCGTACTCAAGGGGTTAACTGATCGTATTCAAGGGTTAAGTCATCGTACTCAAGGGTTAAGTGATCGTACTCAAGGGGATTCATCGTATTCAAGGGGTTAAGTCATCGTACTCAAGGGGTTAACTGATCGTATTCAAGGGTTAAGTCATCGTACTCAAGGGGTTAAGTCATCGTACTCAAGGGTTAAGTCACCCGTACTCAAGGGTTAAGTCATCGTATTCAAGGGTTAAGTCATCGTACTCAAGGGTTAAGTCATCGTACTCAAGGGGTTAAGTCATCGTACTCAAGGGGTTAAGTGATCGTATTCAGGGGTTAAGTCATCGTACTCAAGGGTTAAGTAGGCGTACTCAAGGTTAAGTCATCGTACTCAAGGGGTTAAGTGATCGTATTCAAGGGGTTAAGTCATCGTACTCAAGGGTTAAGTGAGCGTACTCAAAGTTGAATCATCGTACTCAAGGGTTAAGTCATCGTACTCAGGGTTAAGTGATCGTATTCAAGGGTTAAGTCATCGTACTCAAGGGTTAAGTCATCGTACTCAGGGGTTAAGTCATCGTATTCAAGGGTTAAGTGATCGTATTCAAGGGTTAAGTCATCGTACTCAGGGGTTAAGTCATCGTACTCAAGGGGTTAAGTCATCATACTCGATTAAATCATTGTAGTCATTATACTAAAATCAATCACTTTGGGGGGTGGAGGGGGTATTTTCGGGCACCATAATTACTGTTTAAAAAAAGTTCAAATAAAAAAAAAGTTTAATTAGCTTCAGGAAAAAAGTAAATAATGGTGAAATTAGAGTAAATTCCCCTGTGCATTGATCTAGTGAAGCCTTGAGATAAAGTAGGTAAAGTAGGAGTGAGGTAAAGTAGGTGTGAGGTAAAGTAGGTGTGAGGTAAAGTAGGTGTGAGGTAAAGTAGGTGTGAGGTAAAGTAGGTGTGAGGTAAAGTAGGTGTGAGATAAAGTAGGTGTGAGGTAAAGTAGGAGTGAGGTAAAGTAGGAGTGAGTAAGTAGGTGTGAAGTAAAGTAGGTAAATTAGGAGTAAGGTAAAGTAGGTGTGTGGTAAAGTAGGTGTGAGGTAAAGTAGGTGTGAGGTAAATTAGGTGTGAGGTAAATTAGGTGTGAGGTAAAGTAGGAGTGAGGTAAAGTAGGTGTGTGGTAAAGTAAATGTGTTTTCCTTGTTACAGAGACTCTTAGGTTAGGTTAGGTTAGGTTGGTCATGTATGCTTGCAATATACAACAACATACATCACACAATATACAACACCTTCCAAAATCATACAACATACACCTTCCAACATACAGTACAATATATTTGTAAAGGATGTTGTCATGTTTTTGTCGAAGTAAAATAATAAACATTAATATTAACTCAAATACACTATTAACTTTTGACATTACTACGACTTAGGTGTTTATCTCTCTCTCTCTCTCTCTCTCTCTCTCTCTCTCTCTCGCTCTGGCTCTCGTTTTGTTTCGGTCTTGGCAGTTTACGTTCTCTCTCGTTCTCCTCCCTTCTCTGTCATTCTCTCGTTCTCTCTCGTTCTTTCTCTCTTTCTCGTTCTGTTCCATTTCATCTCCTTTCTTTCTCGTTCTCTCTCTGATTCTTTCGCGTTATCTCACATTAACTCTCATTCTCCTCCGCCCTCGTTCTCTCAATTCCAGAAGTGCCGTAAAATACCTCAACAAAAATCAAGATGTTTTACAGACTCCTATCATCTTACTGTTTGAGCCAACCAATTTTCCAGAAGAGTTCTCCCTACTCTCCCCAAAAGAGAATAAGAGAGAGAGAGAGAGAGAGAGAGAGAGAGAGAGAGAGAGAGAGAGAGAGAGAGATAATCATAAAAAACTATCTCAATCATTGGCTGTCTCAAATAGTTTTATCTCCACCCTCCAGCACTGCCGCCTCCACCTACCAATTTCCTCTCGGTCACTCTTTAATTACTGGGGGCAAAAGGTGTGTAAACCTCTCCCCCAGGCCACGGCATTCACGCTGACTGTATATGTGTGTGCGTGTGTGTGTGTGTGTGTGTGTGCATTTGATACAATTTTCGTGTAAATCGTTCTGAAATTGCTTCAAGTCTTACCTCGATAGATTTTTAGGTTCAAGGAAAATGATTTTTTTTCGGTGTTAAAGAAAACGATGAGGCCTTTCAGTAGTTAAGGATTAGCTACCACTCTCCTACCACACCTAGGATAATTCCCCTGACTGGATAATTCCCCTGACTGGATAATTCCCTCTGACTGGATAATTCCCTGACTGGATAAGTCCCCAACTGGATAATTTAACTGATAACTCCGACTGGATAATTCTCCTGACTGGATAATTCTCCTTACTGGATAATTCCCCTGACTGGATAATTCTCCTGACTGGATAATTCTCCTTACTGGATAATTCTCCTAACTGGATAATTCCCCTGACTGGATAATTCCCCTAACTAGATAATCCCCCTGACAGGATAATCCCCCTGACAGGATAATTCTACTAACATTTCTATAACTTTATATTCTTTATTTCTCGTAACACTGTTGTAATGAGAGAAATCTCAAGTAGAAATAACAGTAAAGTAAGAATTCTTAGTTAGTAGGATGTAAGTGAGGAAGGTTTGGTAGCGTGGCCGATTAGTTATTTAACTTGTAATATATATTCTTAGGGGAAATTTTCTAAACACTATTTCTAAGTACAAATATTTATTAGTTAACTGAATGACACAGACACATTACTAGAACATCATATTTACGTTACTAGACACTGACTCTCGGATACAAACATGAAATGGATACACTTCCCACCGTAAGTAACTCACCCCTGGATCGCTCTGACAATGACTCACGTGTGACCTGAGGTGCAGTAGCTGCTGCTGAAGAGAGTGCTGGACTATACCTCCTGTGGAAGACTGCTGGTTGG